CAAAGTAGGGTGCTAAATTGAGACTCATTAGGTGGATACTCCTCCTACAAGAATTTGACTTGACGATCAAGGATAAGAAAATAGTTGAGAACGTGGTGGCGAATCATTTATCCGAGCCTGTGGTGCAAGAGACCAATGAACACATTCCTATCCTTGACTTTTTCCCTGATGAGCATTTGTTTTCAATTCATTCTATATGTCCTTGGTATGTTGATATATGTAACTATCTTGTAACAATACAGATACCATCGCAATGGAACCCAGAAGATCAAAGATGATTTATGGTGGATGTGAAGTACTTCTACTTTGACAACCTGTATTTGTTCAAGTACTGTCCTGATCAAATCATGAGGAGATGCGTACCTAAAAATGAACAGCAGGACGTCCTTGCATTTTGCNCCCTGATCAAATCATGAGGAGATGCGTACCTAAAAGTGAACAGCAGGACGTCCTTGCATTTTGCCATTCACAAGCTTGTGGTGGACATTTTTCAGCTAAAAAGACTTAAGCTAAAATTCTCCAATCAGGTTTCTACTGGCCCTCTCTTATCAAAGATTGCATTTCGTTTTGTAAGGGCTGCGACAAATGCCAACGTTTGGGTAGTGTGACTCGAAGAAACATGATGCCTCTCTCCCTTGTGCTTGTCATAGAAATATTCGACTGTCAGGGCATCGACTTCATGGGTCCTTTCCCTATGTCATTTGGTTATTTGTACGTCCTCCTGGCAATGGACTATGTGTCCAAGTGGGTGGAGGCTATCCCGACCAAGACTAATGACCACCGATTCGTAGTCAAATTTCTCTATACTAAGTGATGATGGATCACACTTTTGCAATAGGCCATTTGCATCTCTAATGTTCAAATATGGTGTCACTCACAAAGTATCCATTGCCTATCCTCCTTACCAGCTTGTCTATGGAAAGGCTTGCCACCTGCCAGTCGAAATGGAACACAAGGNAATACTAAGTGATGATGGATCACACTTTTGCAATAGGCCATTTGCATATCTAATGTTCAAATATGGTGTCACTCACAAAGTATCCATTGCCTATCCTCCTTACCAGCTTGTCTATGGAAAGGCTTGCCACCTGCCAGTCGAAATGGAACACAAGGCCTATTGGGCAATTAAAACTTTAAATTTCAACTTGAGAATGGCCGGTGAACATAGGAATTTGGAAATGAATGAGTTGGAAGAGATTCGACGAGATGCGTATGAGAGCTCCAAAATCTCAAAGGAACGGGCTAAGATATTTCATGATAATTCCATTGTACGGAAATCATTTTGGTCTGGTCAAAATGTGCTCTTATACAATTCTCGCCTCTCAATTTTCTAGGGAAAACTCTGATTCTAGGGAAAACTTTGATCCTGTTGGGATGGCCTCTATTTTGTTAAGGTGGCCTACCTTAACGGAGCTGTTGAGATCACAAACCCCGAAGATGGCCAAACATTCAAGGTCAATGGCCAAAGACTCAAGCCATTCTTCGAGGGTTTTGAAGGGAAAGAAGTGGCGAAATATTTGATGGATCCCGTATATCCGGATTTGATGGAGGACTAGCTAGTGTTTATGATTTCTAGTGTACAGTTACTTTCATTTACTTATGTTATTTCTATTTCATGTCACTTACTTTCGTTGGTTGTATAGCATTGTTTTCTTAGTTTCAGATCTTGGTGCTTTTGTTGAAGCTCAATCGTGGGGTGTTCTCTAACCTTATTCATCTTTTTACTGTCCTTCATTGCATATTATATCTTTTTGTTTCATTGAGGACAATGCATGATTCAAGTTGGGGGGTAAGGTGCACCATTTGCATGATACACCAAGATTGTTAGGAAATTGGTGNGTCCTTCATTGCATATTATATCTTTTTGTTTCATTGAGGACAATGCATGGTTGGGGGGTAAGGTGCACCATTTGCATGATACACCAAGATTGTTAGGAAATTGGTGTGAAATTTTTGTGATACAGATTTTTGCTTGCATTAGTGAAAAATATGTGAAAATTTTTGATGGAAAATATCTGATTGTTGACCTGTACTCCCTTATGAAGAATGTGTGAGTTGAATAACATATTGATCGTTGTTGTGAACTTTGTGCACATGAGCATACTATGGAAATTGATCCTAGGCGTGAGTATCAGATATGTATTGATTTTTGAACCCAAATGTATATGACTATTGAATGTGTAATTTCAGTAATTTGCAGATTGGATTTATGTTTTAAGCTTGACATAAGTAGTGGAGATGAGTAAGGACCCATGAGAGTTTTAGTGCCAAACCTTTTTGGGAGGGAACTTACATTTACTCAAAGAATGATTTTTCAATGTCAAATTTGTTCAATAATCTCATTACACTTGTTTTGGTTAGGTGCATTTGGATAGTGGGCTGACTCATCTTGATTATATAATGCCATTCCATGGGGACCTAGAAGTGATCTTAGGCCATCCTTGAATATTTTGAGCCTTTGCCCTTTTTTCTTGAGAAATTATTTATCCCTAGTGCCATGTTTGAGCCTTGTTGAAAATTGGTTTCTATGCCACACATTTGACAAAGCCAATGCAAAATGATAAATATCTATCTCACCTTGGTTGTTCCCAGTGCTAAGTATGAATGATCATAAAAGAGAAGGAAGTGTGGTGTGGAAATCCAAGCAAGGGATGAATGGAAGTGAAACTCAAAGAGTTCAATGGAAAAAGAATGAAAATCCAAGAAAAGGAAGAAAAGGGGTGAAAAGAAGAAAGAATGATCAAAAGAAAAGAAAAATGTTAAAGAAAAGAAAGAAAAGAAACAAAGAGTCAAGTGAAGGTGTTAGCCTAGAAATCCCATAAAAGGGAGATCTTTTTGAAATAAGGTCATTCACTCAGAACAACCCTCTTTGTATCTTATATCCTTCATTTTATTTACGTAGATACTACCCCCAAGGCCCCATTATAACCCTTGAAAGTCCTAAGTGATCTAGGGAAGCATGGGAGGTGCATAGCTTTAAACAAAATGATGAGTTAGTTTTACTGTCCAATGCCCTAGCATTCTTTTCATGAGATTATGTCAAAGTCGCTTCATTTTCATATGTGAACTTCATTTTTGGATTACATGTGAGCACACTTTGTTTTGAACGCAAGATTCTATCTCACGTGTACACATGGAGTGCATACCAGGATAACTTGAGTGTATTTCTTTGTTTAAGAGTGAACCTTGATAAGTTTTGCATTGAAGCTAAATTTGGCTAGCTATTTGAGTGTGAATTCTGTTGAGGAAATGCTCAAATTACTTGTTTAATTCACACACAGATGAGTTGAAATGAATTTGTAGGTGCATACTTTGGACTAGTATTTGAGACTATGGTCTTACTTATGTGCGCTTAGTTAAATCATCTGAGAAATGTGTTATTTAGTTCCAAACCTACAAAATAGGGGAATATTGCTCAAGTTTTTGATATTTAAGATGAATTAGGAATGCCCATGTTTTCAATTATGTGATTTGCATTTTTGGTGTTCATTTTGATAGTTAAGATTCGGAATCCATTCCTTGTATTTTGCATGCATCAAAGGTTTAAATCACTGTGCAATTCCAGTAATAAGTTGGGCATGATGGTTCAGATTGTGGTTTATAAGTGAAGTACATTGTCGGGATGGAATAGAGGTCATAAGTAATGTGGTAGAATGTCTAGGGAGGTCCTGAGTTGGAATGGAGTGGAGTGATGTACTCAACATTAGTATTTTGGCAAACAAAGCAGAAGCGTATCGGTATTGTGTACCGGTACGGCTTAGGAGAACATATCATATTGGTACTGCGTATCAGTACGGTTTGCTGAAACGAAAAAATTTAGGGCTTTTTAATTTAAATCCTTCGGTGAACCCTTCACTCTCTACTTCTAATTTCAACCCTAAACCTCTCTCTCTCACTCGAAAACACCCCAGGCATCCAAAACCCCCTTGTTTCCCTTTCAATCCATAAAACCACCCTCTCTTTAAGCTTTGATCTTGTGAAATTGACGCCTGGGAACCCTAGGTGCCAAATTTCTCCAATTCCCTATTTTTCTTAAATCTCTCCAAGGAATCCCTAATGGCTCGTCATTTTGATGTTTGCCATCAGGTCATAGACCTGATTGAGGGTATTTTCTTAACTTTCTTGGTGGTTATTTTGATGGGGGCACGGTTGCACTTCATGGCCCAAACCAAGAGACATGGACCTGGGCCCAGCTCCCCTCTAGCTAAGAATCCTGAGAGCGACAAGAGGAGCAGTGAGGGGTCGAGTGAGGGCCCAAACGTGCAAAAAAAGAAGGCCAAGAAGGATGCACGACGCTAGTGGATTCAAGGGAAGAGTGTGACCTGTGAGTACCACCTTGATTACATGTCACTCACCCCCAGACATAAAGCCGTGAAAATCATTGAGGGCCATGGTATGAACTTCTGGTTCAAGTAAGTTAAGGGTTATAATTTTTCACTGGTTAAGGAATTCTACCAATCGCTCCGGGTGGTTGAGGTGAATGAAGTGGAGGGGTTGCGAACCAATGTGCGAGGCAAGGGGTTCGATGTGACCCCTGATGTTATTGGCACGCTTCTTGGAGGATACAAGAGACCACCATCCTTCCTGCCTGTCTATCCGCATAATATCACTAGAGCCAAGACTCGAGCGGAGTTCGTGGAGCTAATGTATGAGGACCCCACCAAATTCAAGGGACTTTTCCAAAGTAAAGGTTTAAAACATGTGTATGGGCTCTTGAACAAACTCCTCCATTACAATTTACTCCCAAGAGCTTCAGAAAAGAAGCCAAACATGGAGAAGTTAACCTTGTTAGATGTTGTTGTGTCAGGAAAACCAATCGACTTTGCACTCTTTATATGGGAAGTGATGAAGGATTTTGCGGAGACAACGAAGCCACTGACAAATTTTCCATGGTTACCCAGATGTGCGATCACTTCAAAGTCAAGGGCTACGCATTCGATAAGATAACTCCTCCTGAGACAGGGGCTATTGGGAAAACCCGTAGTAAAAAGAGAAAATCAATGAGTAAGGGAGAACGGGCCAGGACATTAGGATTTGAGTCTGAGGCCCCCGGCCCATCTTCATCCACGGCTGCACCAGCACGCTCAATTCCCCAACGTCTTGATGCACTTGAAGCAACAATGCATGGGATTGAGGCATCAGCGCAGGGGATGATGACCATGCTGATAGAGTTGTTCATGTACACCTTCCATAGGAGGCCCATTCTAGAACCACCTATATCTCCAGCTGTTGGCTCCTATGCCTTTGCTGTCCCCCTACTCCCACAGTGACTTTGGAGGATGAGGATGAGGATGATGATGATGAAGAAACTGAGGATTTTGGGAATGGTGAGGAGTTTGATGAAAATGAAGAGTTTGGGGAGGATGTTGAATCTGACAATGAATGAAGAGGGTGATGTATAGGTGGCTGTGTAGCTGCTGACTGTCTGCTGATTTTAGATTGTATTGAGCTAGGGTGGAGTTGTAGGCTATTTTGTGTTTGTCTTGTTCAATTGTATCCACGCTTATTTTGTTAATTGCATTATGATTTTGACTTTTTGATTGATTGGATGAATGGTTAATTACATGGAGTGAGTGTGTGTTATACTCATNCAAGTGAAGGTGTTAGCCTAGAAATCCCATAAAAGGGAGATCTTTTTGAAATAAGGTCATTCACTCAGAACAACCCTCTTTGTATCTTATATCCTTCATTTTATTTACGTAGATACTACCCCCAAGGCCCCATTATAACCCTTGAAAGTCCTAAGTGATCTAGGGAAGCATGGGAGGTGCATAGCTTTAAACAAAATGATGAGTTAGTTTTACTGTCCAATGCCCTAGCATTCTTTTCATGAGATTATGTCAAAGTCGCTTCATTTTCATATGTGAACTTCATTTTTGGATTACATGTGAGCACACTTTGTTTTGAACGCAAGATTCNATGAATCTGACAATGAATGAAGAGGGTGATGTATAGGTGGCTGTGTAGCTGCTGACTGTCTTCTGATTTTAGATTGTATTGAGTTAGGGTGGAGTTGTAGGCTATTTTGTGTTTGTCTTGTTCAATTGTATCCACGCTTATTTTGTTAATTGCATTATGATTTTGAATTTTTGATTGATTGGATGAATGGTTAATTACATGGAGTGAGTGTGTGTTATACTCATNAAGTTTTGCATTGAAGCTAAATTTGGCTAGCTATTTGAGTGTGAATTCTGTTGAGGAAATGCTCAAATTACTTGTTTAATTCACACACAGATGAGTTGAAATGAATTTGTAGGTGCATACTTTGGACTAGTATTTGAGACTATGGTCTTACTTATGTGCGCTTAGTTAAATCATCTGAGAAATGTGTTATTTAGTTCCAAACCTACAAAATAGGGGAATATTGCTCAAGTTTTTGATATTTAAGATGAATTAGGAATGCCCATGTTTTCAATTATGTGATTTGCATTTTTGGTGTTCATTTTGATAGTTAAGATTCGGAATCCATTCCTTGTATTTTGCATGCATCAAAGGTTTAAATCACTGTGCAATTCCAGTAATAAGTTGGGCATGATGGTTCAGATTGTGGTTTATAAGTGAAGTACATTGTCGGGATGGAATAGAGGTCATAAGTAATGTGGTAGAATGTCTAGGGAGGTCCTGAGTTGGAATGGAGTGGAGTGATGTACTCAACATTAGTATTTTGGCAAACAAAGCAGAAGCGTATCGGTATTGTGTACCGGTACGGCTTAGGAGAACATATCATATTGGTACTGCGTATCAGTACGGTTTGCTGAAACGAAAAAATTTAGGGCTTTTTAATTTAAATCCTTCGGTGAACCCTTCACTCTCTACTTCTAATTTCAACCCTAAACCTCTCTCTCTCACTCGAAAACACCCCAGGCATCCAAAACCCCCTTGTTTCCCTTTCAATCCATAAAACCACCCTCTCTTTAAGCTTTGATCTTGTGAAATTGACGCTTGGGAACCCTAGGTGCCAAATTTCTCCAATTCCCTATTTTTCTTAAATCTCTCCAAGGAATCCCTAATGGCTCGTCATTTTGATGTTTGCCATCAGGTCATAGACCTGATTGAGGGTATTTTCTTAACTTTCTTGGTGGTTATTTTGATGGGGGCACGGTTGCACTTCATGGCCCAAACCAAGAGACATGGACCTGGGCCCAGCTCCCCTCTAGCTAAGAATCCTGAGAGCGACAAGAGGAGCAGTGAGGGGTCGAGTGAGGGCCCAAACGTGCAAAAAAAGAAGGCCAAGAAGGATGCACGACGCTAGTGGATTCAAGGGAAGAGTGTGACCTGTGAGTACCACCTTGATTACATGTCACTCACCCCCAGACATAAAGCCGTGAAAATCATTGAGGGCCATGGTATGAACTTCTGGTTCAAGTAAGTTAAGGGTTATAATTTTTCACTGGTTAAGGAATTCTACCAATCGCTCCGGGTGGTTGAGGTGAATGAAGTGGAGGGGTTGCGAACCAATGTGCGAGGCAAGGGGTTCGATGTGACCCCTGATGTTATTGGCACGCTTCTTGGAGGATACAAGAGACCACCATCCTTCCTGCCTGTCTATCCGCATAATATCACTAGAGCCAAGACTCGAGCGGAGTTCGTGGAGCTAATGTATGAGGACCCCACCAAATTCAAGGGACTTTTCCAAAGTAAAGGTTTAAAACATGTGTATGGGCTCTTGAACAAACTCCTCCATTACAATTTACTCCCAAGAGCTTCAGAAAAGAAGCCAAACATGGAGAAGTTAACCTTGTTAGATGTTGTTGTGTCAGGAAAACCAATCGACTTTGCACTCTTTATATGGGAAGTGATGAAGGATTTTGCGGAGACAACGAAGCCACTGACAAATTTTCCATGGTTACCCAGATGTGCGATCACTTCAAAGTCAAGGGCTACGCATTCGATAAGATAACTCCTCCTGAGACAGGGGCTATTGGGAAAACCCGTAGTAAAAAGAGAAAATCAATGAGTAAGGGAGAACGGGCCAGGACATTAGGATTTGAGTCTGAGGCCCCCGGCCCATCTTCATCCACGGCTGCACCAGCACGCTCAATTCCCCAACGTCTTGATGCACTTGAAGCAACAATGCATGGGATTGAGGCATCAGCGCAGGGGATGATGACCATGCTGATAGAGTTGTTCATGTACACCTTCCATGGGAGGCCCATTCTAGAACCACCTATATCTCCAGCTGTTGGCTCCTATGCCTTTGCTGTCCCCCTACTCCCACAGTGACTTTGGAGGATGAGGATGAGGATGATGATGATGAAGAAACTGAGGATTTTGGGAATGGTGAGGAGTTTGATGAAAATGAAGAGTTTGGGGAGGATGTTGAATCTGACAATGAATGAAGAGGGTGATGTATAGGTGGCTGTGTAGCTGCTGACTGTCTGCTGATTTTAGATTGTATTGAGCTAGGGTGGAGTTGTAGGCTATTTTGTGTTTGTCTTGTTCAATTGTATCCACGCTTATTTTGTTAATTGCATTATGATTTTGACTTTTTGATTGATTGGATGAATGGTTAATTACATGGAGTGAGTGTGTGTTATACTCATTGTCTTGTGTTGGAAATAACTTTTGCTAAGGGACTATCAAAACCTAAGTTGGGGGGTGTGATTAGCACAAAACATTGCATATTTTTATGTGCTAATCATACTAGTTTAATTATTTTTTGGGATTAAATGATTGGAGTTACATTTGTGGAGTTATTAATGAAAATATTTGGTGTTTGCAGTTAAAAGGTGCTAAATAAGGCTTCTTAAGGCCTTCCCAAATGTATTGAGATGATTGGGGATGAAAGAATGGCTAGAGGAGCGCTTTGGAGTGAAGAAATTAGAAAAATTAGACAAGGTAGCAAAAGCATACTGGTACGCTCTGTCGTTCTACCCCATTCTCTGCAACTCAGGTCTGTTACTTTGAGGGTCCCACCAACAAATCTCCCCTGCTCCCCTGACACACCCATAGCACTATTCATCCCTTGCACACTACTCTTTGGACTTTTGGAGCCAGGGTGATCAATGAGGAGAGAGAAGAGAAGAGAAGCTGGGTGTGCAGACAAGCTTTGCAACCCCCCTGTCCAGCCCATTCCTCTTGCACCCCTATGGATAGAGGTCACTTATGGAGGCTAGGGGATCTCTCCAAGCATGTTTATGGCAAGAGGAGACTCCATTATTCAGCATTCTACATAACATAGAGATATAGAGAGAGAAGGTCAAGGTCTGCTAGCAGATGATGAATAGTGTTCTAGTAAGAGAAAATTTAGATTTTTGCATTTTTTTCAATACATGGTCTTGTAATCCCATATATAAATCTTTAGAACTTCATTTAATGTCATTAATGTTGTTATTTTTTTAAGTTCAATACAAGTTTAATGCTCTTTTAAAGCGTTCACCATTAATGCATCAAATTTCTTCATTTTCTTAGTTTTCAAATGGGTATTCAATATACTCTCTTATAGCTTATGTTTTCTTGTATCTAGTAACTCTAGAACTTCATATCTTTACAATGCATTCTCATTACATTGTCAATTTCATTTTAAGCATGAGTAGCTAAATCTTTTAGTTGGAAAAACCAAGGGGAACCTCTACTTGGATATACCATTTCAACTCATTCTCCTCCCTTCTTTTAGAGTGCAATGGTTCGGTTTGACTGGGTTGGGGGTGGATAAATTGGTGAGTCTTTGATATTTCGTAGGCCTAGTCATGATTTATGCTTAGATACTGACCAATCTTATCCCTAGCTTCCCACGAATCAATTATTCATTCATACTCCATTGGAGAAGGATTTTGAGTTGATACGACATTCCTAGTGGAGCGACCTCTTGGATTTGTCAACGTTTGTTTCTCATTTTATNCATTCATTCATACTCCATTGGAGAAGGATTTTGAGTTGATACGACATTCGTAGTGGAGCGACCTCTTGGATTTGTCAACGTTTGTTTCTCATTTTATTAGCATCAAAATAAACTTCACCAAACAATTTCCAACAATCAACGATTTTACACTTTCTTTCTCCCAAAATCACCTTCCCTTCGGTTTACTTCCTTCCCCGTGGAAACAACCTTGGAATATCACCAAGTAAAACACGACCCATGAATGTCTCCTTGCGCTTGGGGAGCACTTTTGTACACACACACACACACACTTTTGTGCATTTACACATCTTATTACTATCATTTCATTTTTCCCCATCTCCTTGCCCTTTCTTTTGACATCACCCATAGGAGAGTGACACTCCCTTTAATCCATAAACTATATAGGCTAAAAAGTGATGTTTAGAGGTTAGAAAACTACAAGGAATTTTGAGCAAGCACATATGTTGGAATATGTGGATAAATTAACTCATACGACATTCATTACATATGGGGTATGACATTGATACTGCAATGGTGCACTACATTGCATTTGCACGGGGAAAATACATCTAAGGCCATGAGTATGGGTGTGTGTGTGTGCATGGTTGGATTAATCATCATACTTGGTGATTAATGGTGGGCTCGGGAAAGTTGGACTGAAGATCTGACTGAGTTGCATGAAAGGAAAACTTGTGTCGGATATAACAAGAAGGGCTAGATTCTCCCTCGGGTGCAAGACCCAGCCACATAGTTTATACATTTCTCAGCAGTGAAATTCCAGAAAAGTTTAATAGTGTACAGAGCCAAAGGTGTGAATCCAAAATTCGATACCCAACAAAGACACATGATTTTGTTTTACAACTGGTCATTCGATATGTATCATCCAACAAAATTTGGTTTTATAAACACATGGCCTTTATTTCAAAATGATCATTAGATGAAATTCATCAATGAGAGATTTACTTCACACGTGCATTGCATTATGATGTGGGAGTCGGTGAGGACTCGGGGTTAAGGTGCATGAGTGAGTATCACCTCATATCATGACATGACATGGTAGCAATTTCCATCTTGAATGACATGTTCTTGTATGGAATGGATTATGATTGTTGATTGTTGCATGTGCACATTTCATATGCATCTAGGGGGGAGTAACCTCTATAGGAAATACTCTTTTGGGTGTGGCTCACCCTATACGAGAAAACGTTTTAGGTGCAGGATACATTCCGGAAAATGGCTCGCATTCGGGGCCTCAAAGATGAAGAAAAGCCAACTTGTGTCTTTTGTAGCACATTTTGTGTAATTTTTGTAAAAATTATGTTTGTGAGCATGTAATCGTATAAATGGATTGTAATAGAACTTGTACATATCAAGTTTTATGTGATAAACATCATTATACATGTTTTGGATGGTGTTGGAATGGTTTTGAATGGATTAGAAATGAGAAGTAGGTGAAATGGGCAAAAGTGGGCAGAGAGTACCGGTACCACAAGGTCCAGTGAGTTAATGGTACTGGTACAGATTTTTCAGTGGGTTGAAAGTACTGGTACAGTCTAGTCCAGAAGGCAAAGCGTACTGGTACTGATTTTCCAGAAGGCTCACAGTGAGTGTCGGTACTCTTTCCAAAATTTTGAAAATTTTTAAATTACTTTGCCAAGCTTTTGGGCTATGAGTTCTTGGGTTCCAAGGATATAAATAGACTATAATGGAGTATGAATTGCGATATATTGCACCACGGTTGGATCAAATGATAAAATGAACACAGGTTTTACGTGTGAGTTAAAATCCCGGTAAAGGAGAAGTTGTTAACATAGAGTCGAGTTGTGCGACTATCACGGGTATTTCTGCAGGTTGACGGATGGTCATTAGTTAACAAATGACCCCCGGTTTTAGGGGCGTCACATAATCCCGATACAAGATTCTAAAGCATAACACAAGATTCTAAAAAGGCCCTCCCTATGGCCAAGGACTCCATGAATTTATCCACCACTTATGTATAGGGATGCATGTTGGACTATGTAAATGTTAGATAAAGGATGAGCAACCAAAACCCAATAGGATATTCCTTTCCCAAGCATATACGAGGCTTCAAACTCAAAACATTAAACAAATTAAATAAACATTCATCTAGGCTTTCATTTTAGTAACACAAATAAGGAAAATAGCATAATATAAACCACGTTGTAAAGCAAATATTTCCTTAAGCGAAATACAACATCAATTTTATAAAACATTTGTGAGAAATTTATACACAAGCTGTAAACCCCCACATTCTTGTCTTTACATAATAATGTAATTATTTTGAAATGCTCATGTATGTAGTGGGGGAAGCATAAACTATATAGGTTGTAAAAGTAGAAGTTAGGAAGTGTTCGAAAGTTAAAACACCTTTTTGATAGAACTTGAGTAGAAAGAATTTTGACACTGTCTCAGTATTTGGACCATAAATTTTTCCCTTGATGTCCTTTTGATCTGAAATTTTTTCAGTAGACACTAGACTTCAAGGGATACAAAAGTGTGTTTCACGAAAATTTTCCAAGTCGACCTCTAAATAAGTCAAAACTTCACAGAAAGTGTCAGCAAAAATTAGGAGTCCGTTCGAATGTGAATCTACATTCGAACGACAGTGAGTCCCAGTACTTTGGTGCAGAGCACTGATGGAAAAAAAAAAATACTGGGAGCAACTAATGTCCATAATGACATTCAAACGTGAAGCAATAATTTGCACTACTAACGTTGAAATGCCAAATGACATCGAACGTGAGGTAAAAATTCTAAGTATTAGATCGGCGATAAGTGGTCTGTTTCTCACCTTGTAAATACTTAATGACAACTCTCTTAGCCTCATTTCAACATATCTAACCCTAAAGAGTCTCAGAGAGGAAGAAAGAGGGGGACAAACATAATATCAAGGGAAATTTTCACATTGAAGTGGATCAAATCTTCTAGTGTTTCACACAATACAAAGGAAGAAAGGTAGGAGTTTCTTCTCACTCTTGTCCATTGAGGCTAGGATTTATATACATGTATGTTTTGACTCTCAAACATAGATATTTGTTATGGAATCCTTGTGTCTTGATGTTCTTGCAAATCTTATTATGTTTTGAGTGAAGTTATGGCTTGATAGCCATAAAATTCATGTTGTTGATGTCAAAACCTAGTTTTTCAAGAAATAAAATTTTTTCTCTTGATATTCCTTTGTTCTTGATTTAAAAACTGTTGTGCTTTGTGTGAACACTAAAAATTATATATTTGATGATCTCTTGCATATTTTCTTAAATTGTTCCATTGGAAAAATACATGCGAATTGGGGGTTCTTGACTTACTTATGATTTGCGAAATTGGTTTGGGGTTGTATCTCTTGGGTGGTTGTTTGGATGAACATAGGTGACCGTTGACCGAGTATCATAGAGTGGGTAGATGCGTTTCTTACTTCGTGTGGGTTTGAAGGTTCCCCGCCACTCGTAGTGGCGTTGGTGTCTTGCGAGGACCAAAACA